GTGACAGACAGACAGACATGACAGACAGACAGACATGACAGACAGACAGACATGACAGACAGACAGACAGACAGACAGACATGACAGACAGACAGACATGACAGACAGACATGACAGACATGACAGACAGACAGACAGACAGACAGACAGACAGACAGACATGACAGACAGACACACAATCAGGGCCCAGGTCGACCACAGGCTTACGCCAGTTTGAGCAAGTTTTACAGCACTCTCAACACAACTAGGTCAGTGAAGTGCAGACGTGGACAGGTGTTAGCAGAGAGTAACAAACAGAAAAAGGAGGAGAGATAGAGACGATAGAATTTTTATAGGAACGAAGGAGCAAACCACACCAGAGCACCCGCCAACCACCCACGAAAATGAGAGGTGTCACTAGAGAGTATGTGTCTGTGAGTGTGTGTCTGTGAGTATGTGTCTGTGAGTGTGTGTCTGTGAGTATGTGTCTGTGAGTGTGTGTCTGTGAGAGTGTGCATTTGTGTGTCTGTGAGTGTGTGTCTGTGAGTGTGTGTCTGTGTGTGTGCATTTGTGTGTCTGTGAGTGTGTGTCTGTGTGTGTGTGTCTGTGTGTGTGCATTTGTGTGTCTGTGAGTGTGTGTCTGTGTGTGTGTGCATTTGTGTGTCTGTGAGTGTGCATCTGTGTGTGTGTGTGTCTGTGAGTGTGTGCATTTGTGTGTCTGTGTGTGTGCGTCTGTGTGTGTGCGTCTGTGAGTGTGTGCATTTGTGTGTCTGTGAGTGTGTGCATTTGTGTGTCTGTGAGTGTGCATCTGTGAGTATGTGTCTGTGTGTGTGTGTGTGTGTGTGTGTGTGTGTGTGTGTCTGTGAGTGTGTGTCTGTGTGTGTGTCTGTGAGTGTGTGCATTTGTGTGCGTGTGAGTGTGTGCATTTGCGTATGTGTTCGTGTGTCTGTGAGTGTGTGCATTTGTGTGTGTGTGAGTGTATGTGTTAGTGTGTCTATGAGTGTGTGCATTTGTGTGTGTGTGAGTGTATGTGTTAGTGTGTCTGTGAGTGTGTGTCTGTGAGTGTGTGCATTTGTGTGTGTGTGAGAGTGTGCATTTGTGTGTCTGTGAGTGTGTGCATTTGTGTGTCTGTGAGTGTGTGTGTGAGCGTGTGCATTTGTGTCTGTGAGTGTGTGCATTTGTGTGTGTGAGTGTATGTGTTAGTGTGTCTGTGAGTGTGTGCATTTGTGTGTGTGTGAGTGTGTGCATTTGTGTGTGTGTGAGAGTGTGCATTTGTGTGTCTGTGAGTGCATGCATTTGTGTGTGTGTGAGTGTGTGTGTGTGTGAGCGTGTGCATTTGTGTGTCTGTGAGTGCGTGCATTTGTGTGTCTGTGAGTGTGTGTGTGTGAGCGTGTGCATTTGCGTATGCAGGGCTTGAAAGAGACCGCGGCAACTTGCCTTGGTGCCCTTGCAACTTGCCGTAATGTCCTTCACATCAAAGGGTCAACCGCAGCAATTTTTGCCCTGCCTTTGTTTTTTTTTGTTTTAAAAATGTGCCACCATGAGAATAGATCAATATTTACCCTGTGCTGTCACTTGTGGGAAAAAAAGAAGAAAAGAATGTTATACAGGCGTCTTGTCGGGTACGCCACCGTGGCCGGTCAGTGACCCTGGGCGTTGGTATCACAACGGAATCACAAGATACGGCATCGTGTGAGCACTGGTTGTTGGGGTCACCAAAGTTCATTCAAAGTCTGAACACCGCGAAGTATGGGACTCCGGAAGGGGGGAATCCTGTCAGACTTGTCTGAAATCCCATCAAAGCTTCAGTCAGACACTGCTCAGCTGTCTGAAATCTCATCAAAGCTACAGTCCGACACTGCTCAGCTTGACCATTGTGTCCATTTTGTGATAGCTAGTACAAACACACTCACGACAATGATAACCAAACCTCAGCAGTAGTGTCTGAAAAAAGCTCTGGATGAAAAAGAAGACTGCAGATGTGAGCAATGTGGCAAGAGATGTCTCACAACTAGACATCCTCCATGTGGCAAGAGATGTGTCTCACAACTAGACATCCTCCATGTGGCAAGAGATGTGTCTCACAACTAGACATCCTCCATGTGGCAAGAGATGTGTCTCACAACTAGACGTCCTCCATGTGGCAAGAGATGTGTCTCACAACTAGACGTCCTGATAATACAGCACTATTCCCTGATATCATCTTCTCTGGTGATACTTTTTAAAATCACCTGTGTTTTCCCATAAGGGACAAACTGTAAGCCAGTTTTTTTCTATATTGTGTGTGCCAACATATTTTCGATATTCTGATCATCAAGTGATTTACTTAATTTTCATTCATGACTTTACAAATTTTCCGATAACTCTATACTTTTGTTGAGAGCAAGAATAAATTGTATTGTTAGTTATAAACGTTGTGAAGCACGTTCCAGTATTACCAACTTTAATCAACAAAATGATCACCTATAATTTTTGCCTCGGTGCCCTCTGATTTTTAGGCCCCACCGAGGCAATTTTTGCCTGCCCTCCTGAACACCTAATTCAAGCCCTGTACTACTACTACAACAAACAAGATCTACTGCACTGTAACCACCAGTATTTATGTGTATGTGAGCCTGTGTGTGTGTGAGTGTGTGTTAAGTGTTGTGTAGGCTACACATGGTCAGTAGGCCAACTCAACTAACGAATGCCAATCACAATAATGGTCAGTAGCTCACGGTCGTGCCGTCACAGTGCAGTAGTCAGTATCAGTAAGCCTTGTAAACCTATAGCCTACTCCTACTAGTCTAGTAATAATAGGATGGCCGTCGTTATTCGGACTCGAGTCCGAATAAAAAAAATTATTTTATTCGGACTCGAGTTCGAATATGAAAAAAATGTTATTCGGACTCGGGTCCGGAAAAAAGGAAGAGTCTTCGTTCTATAGATCTAA